ACTGGGAACAATTTCCCACAATTTCATTAAACATGTACCATGACAGTAAAGCATGTTTCTATTCTATTCTATTCGAGTTACAACTGCCTGTTTTTTAATGTTGAAATGCTGAAATTTGCCATGCTGCTACAGATGACTGTTAAAGGTAAAATCAAAAGCTTTGCAATTCAAGATATCAACAGTCTTTCGATTAAACTGACCAAATATGATGTCCGTCTGTAGTAAACATCCAGATGTTTTAGCTCATAAACAGCAGTCACCTCTCACCTCTCTCTGGACCTTCTGCGCTGTCTCCTCAGCTTGTCTCAGTTTGACCTTCAGGATGCTGATCTCCTCCTGTATATCAGATGAGTCCTTCTGCTCAGGTCTGGACTGGAACACCGTGATATAAGAGTCCGCCTTCACCTGGTTGTCCTTTTCATATTCAGTACTGCCCTCCGCTCTGACTGCCAGATACACGTCATCACACCTGTTTGCCATTAGACAGAAGATCTGTTGGAACAGTAGCTTCAGGAGACAAAGTGAGATATATAATAACACCCTAAAAAAAAAAAAATACCCGCTCGTCCCTGCAAGCGGTCTATCCTTCAAGCTCAGGTCTTCTACCAGAGGCCTGGGAGTTTGAGGGTCCTGCGCAGTATCTTAGCTTTTCCTAGGACTGCGCTCTTCTGGACAGAGATCTCCGATGTTGTTCCTGGGATCTGCTGGAGCTACACACCTAGTTAGGCAGTCACCGCACCTAGTGCTCCGATTACCACTGGGACCACCGTTACCTTCACCCTCCACATTTTCTCAAACTCTTCTTTGAGCCCTTGGTATTTCTCGAGCTTCTCGTGTTCCTTCCTGATGTCGCTGCCATTCGGAACTACTACGTCTATCACTACGTCTCCTTCTGTTTGTCTACCACCATTTTGTCCGTCTGTATCTGGAAGTTCCTCAGGATCTTAGCTCGGTCATTCTCCACCACCCTAGGGGGCGTCTCCCATTTTGACCTCGGGACTTCCAGGCCGTATTTGGCACAGATGTTTCTGTATACTATGCCGGCCACTTGGTTATGGCGTTCCATGTATGCCCTGCCTGCTAGCATTTTACACCTTGCTGTTATGTGCTGGATTGTCTCAGTGGCATCTTTACACAGCCTGCACCTGGGGTCTTGCCTGGTGTGATAGACCCCAGCCTCTATGGATCTTGTGCTCAGATCTTGTTCCTGTGCTGCTATGATTAGTGCCTCTGTGCTGTCTTTCAGTCCAGCTTTGTCCAGCCACTGGTAGGATTTCTGGATATCAGCCACCTCCTCTATCTGCCGGTGGTACATACCGTGCAGGGGCCTGTCCTTCCATGATGGTTCCTCCTCTTCCTCCTCATTCTTGGGTTTCTGCTGCCTGAGGTTTTCACTGAGCACTCGGTCAGTTGGGGCCATCTTACTGATGTATTCGAGGATGTTTGTTGTCTCATCCTGGACTGTGGTGCTGACACTCATCAGTCTCCCAGCCCCCTTCCTTCCACTTAGCGTACAGGCTCAGGGTGCTGGACTTGGTGTGAAACCCTCCATGCATGGTCAGGAGCTTCCTTGTTCTGATGTCAGTGGCTTCTATCGCCTCCTTTGGCCAGCCTATTACCCCAGCAGGGTACCTGATCATGGGCAGGGTGTAGGTGCTGATAGCCCGGATCTTGTTCTTACCGTTCAGCTGACTCCTCAGGACTTGCCTGGCCCTCTGCAGGTACTTGGTGGTTGCAGCTTTTCTAGCGGCCTCTTCATTGTTCCCATTTGCCCGTGGGATCCCCAGGTACTTGTAGCTGCCCTCTATGTCTGCAATGTTGCCTTTTGGTAGTTTGTTTCATGCATTTATTTTAAAAATAATTCTATTGAAGCATGGTTGAAAAGCAATGTCTGACTTTCATTGGTTGACATTTATAGAATTTTTATTTATTATTACTTTTGTCAGATTAAGGTTATTTCTGTGACCATTGTGAGATTTTCTTTTATTGACTGAAGGGTACCAACAATTTTGTCCACATCTGTATCTATTTAATATGCGCACTGAAGGACATATCCTGGTCAAAAATGACTCCAAGATTCACAGTGTCACTGGAGGCCAAGATAATGCCATCCAGAGTAAGAATCTGGTTATATACCATATTTCTAAGATTTTCAGGGCAGAGTAAAATAACCTCAATTTTATCTAAATTTAAAAGCGTTAAATTAGTGGTTATCCAGGATTTTATGTCTTTAGGACATTGCTGCAGTTTAACTAATTGGTGTGTTATCTGGCTTCATGGATAGATAAAGTTGGGTGTCATCTGCATAGCTGTGAAAATGTATGCTATACCTTCTGGTGATACTGCCAAAAGGAAGTATGTATAATGTAAATAGAACTGGTCCTAGCACAGAACCCTGTGGAACTCCATAATCAACCTTAGAGTGTAAAGACGACTCTCCATTTACATGAACAAATTTGAGTCCATTAGATAGATATAATTAAAACCACTGCAGTGCAGTACTTGTAACACTTACGTCAAGTTCTAATCGCTATAATAAAATATTATGGTCAACACTATCGAATGCTGCACTGTGGTCTAGCAGGACCAGCACAGAGATAAGTCCACCGTCAGAGGCCATAAGAACATAAATTGTAACCTTTTGTCAGCCTGGCTACAGTGCTTTAGAGAAACCTGGGGTTATTCTTATTTCGTCAAACAATGATGAATAGTGAGACGTTCTAGCTTTATGGGGGACATTTTCAAAACAATAAAGCAGCAAACTATTTTTTCAGGCTAAATAATGAACTTCTAAATTTGTGATATGCCATTTCCTCTCCAGCTTACAAGTTATCTTTAAGGTTTGTGTTTAAGAGTTACACCAGGGAGTTAAGTTCTTGTGATCTGGTGCTTTCTTGTTCAGAGGAGCCACATTGTGCAGAGTCGTACACAGTGAAGAAGTAAAATTATTAACAAGACCTTGATCTTAGTTACAGTGCTTTCAGAAAGACATCTGCTGTTATGAAATCTATTCCCCATTGCCGTGTAATTCATTATTGTAAATTTAAATATTATTAGGAAATGATCAGACAAGCTCTGAGCACAAGATCCACAGGGGGTGGGGTCTACCACACAAAAAAAGCCTCTGGTAGAAAACCCAAGCTTGAAGAATTTTCGCACATTTTAAGAGTCAGAGTGTCAGGTGTAGGTGGATGTTTTGACTGAAGCTGCTCAGGTCACTCACGTGTCTTGTTGTTGTTGCAGTTCCTCCACCTTGTTGTTCAGCTGTTTGTTGTCACTAGTCAGATTCTGATGTTGGTCTGTTAGAGAGTTGAACTCGTCCTGCAGCTGAGTGACCTCACCTGTATCAGTAGACAAAGACTGATATCAGTATTGATTAACTGACTAATAATTGTCTTATTGATTCTAATGAAGAAACAAACACGTTATTACATCTCTGCATTATTGGTGCATCAGATGTTTGTTCACTTTTTTTCCTTCATCTCAGGTGATAAAGGTCCCATCTGTTAGTTACAGTTCTCCTACTTAGTTACAGTTACTAGTACTAAACCTTAGATAATGCAGGTTAATATTACTTAGAGTTATAGTTACTGTGTTTAGTTGCAGTTACCCTGTGTCAGTGTGCTGTGGCTCTTCATGCTCAGCTCAGCTCTCAGTGTTGTCACCTCAAGTTCGTACTCGGCTGTTGTGGCGTGCAGACGCTGTAGCTCCGCCCTCAGACGGCATAGCTCTTCCTGAAGGGAGGCAATGTCATTCTCTCTCTCTGCTGCTGCCTCCTCGGCTGCCTGCTGCAGCATTAGCACCTCCTCTTGAGCTGAGCGTAGCTCCTGCTGCACCTCCTCCAGCTCGCTTTCCTTCTCCTCCTCCAGACTGTCCATCTCCTCCTGGACTGAACGCAGCTGGGCTGAATGAGTCAGACAGCGTGAGAGAATTAGAGTGAGAGTCAATATCACAGTTTCAGAGTCTCAGAGAGTTAGAGAGTCAGAGTCAGTGAGTCAGTCTCAGAGAGTCAGAATCAGAGGGAGAGTCAAAGTCAGTGAGTCAGTGTCAGTGAGTCCAAGAGTCAGAGTCCGAGAGAGTCAGAGTCAGTGAGTCAGAGTCTCAGAGAGTCAGAATCAGAGAGAGAGTCAAAGTCAGTGAGTCAGTGTCAGTGAGTCCAAAAATCAGAGTCCGAGAGAATCAGAGTTAGTGAGTCAGAGTCTTAGAGTCAGAGTCAGAGAGTCAGAGTCAGTGAGTCAGTGTGAGAGAGTCAGAGTCAGAGAGTCAGTGTCTCAGAGAGTCAGTGTCTCAGAAAGTCAGTCCGAGTCAGAGTGTCAGAGAGTCAGAGAGTCAAAGTGTCAGAGAGCAAGAGAGAGTCAGGGAGCATCAGAAAATCAGAGTCAGAAAGAGTCGGAGGGTCACAGTCAGAGACAGTCGGAGAGATCAGAAAGTCACAGCGAGTCAGAAAGTCAGAGAGAGTCAGTGAGTCAGAGTCTCAGAGTGTCAGTGTCTTAGAGATCAGAGAGTCAGTGTCAGAGAGTCAAAGTGTCAAAGATCCAGAGAGAGTCAGTCAGTGAGTCAGTTTCAGTGAGCCAGAGACAGTGAGTCAGACTCACAGTCTCAGAGTGTCAGACTCTTGGAGAGTCAGAGTCTGTGAGTCAGTGTCAGAGTGTCAGAGCATCAGAGTGTCATACTGTCAGAGTCAGGGAGGTGAAGGAGCTCACCTTGCAGCCTTTGGATCTGCCGGGTGAAGCTCTCGGCCTGGTGGGCGCTGGCCAGCCGCTCCTCCTCTAACAGACCTTTGAAAGGAGAAATGATATAGAATAGAATAGAATAATCCTTTAATTGTCCCACATGGGGAAATTTGGGTGTAACAGCAGCAAGAAAGACACATATACAAACAAACAGTACACAAGACACAGAACAGAAACATACACAGTTTTCACATATTTACATCAAGGACAAAGGTTACCAAAAACAGAGTACTGTACCGTTATTAAATTGAATAAAATGAAATACAGATAAGAGGAAAGTTACAGAGCTGATGTAAACCTCTATGTTTGTTGGGAGCAGTTTTGATTGTGCTCCTGCATAACAGGAGATGCAGAAGGAGTAACAACCATGAATATGAAGCAAAGTGACGTTTCCTCACCCTGTAGCTCCATGAAGCTCTCCTCATGTCTCTGAGACACCTCCCGTGTCTCCTCCAGCTCCAGCAGTAGCTGCAACACCTGAGCCTTCAGCTCCTCCAGCTCCTCTTCTTTACCTTTATCGCCGCCTTCCTCCTCATCCTCAGACTTCTCTTCCTTCACCTCTTTCTCATCCTCCTCCTGCCCCTTCTCTCCTTCACCCCCTGTCTCCTCCTTCTCCTCAAGGGACTCCCTCTCTTTGGCTGTGAGGGTATCTGCCAGCATGATGGGCTTCTCCTCCTTCAGCTCACAGAGCTCATCTGCTCAGAGAGGAAGGAGACAATGAAGAGGCAGAGGAGGATTTTTAACAAAGAGAGATGAAAATACACTTCTCTTATTTTGTAGGAGTTTCCAAATAAAACAATATTTATTTTAAAAGATTATAAAACCATGATGTACTTCTTTACTTGACCACCAGGGCTCTTCTTAATAAACCAGGTTTCTTCTTGTTTGTCACTGAAAGTCATACCCTTTATTTTAGTGGGAGATAAATACCGAAACTGTCTGAGGTTTTCAAGCAGGTTAACAGTTTTTATCAAATATCCTTGTTTTAAATACTTTAAAATCCTCTAAATTTACTCAATGTCCAAATTTTTTGTGTGCTGTGCTGCAGAGACATCTGCTGGATTTAACCTTTATTTAATCTGGTGCATCATTAACAGCAAATCATTTAAAGTGAGGGGCAGGGAAAAGGTAAACAACTGAATATACCTGACTTCACCTGGCAGCAAAACACCTTTAAATGTGTGTACCATCAGCATAAAAACAACAAAAGAGTTAAAATCCCATAAAATAAGATAATTCTAATATAATATTTCATATAAAGGAGAACGTGTTTCTCTTAAATCAAAAGTAATAATTTGAATTCCAGCGTGCACCTCAGTCTGCACCTCTGACACACATTTGAAATGTCTACACCTTGTTCTAGCCTCTATGGTTTTTATGTGAAACAGGAAGTGCTGAACATAAGGTGAAGATAAAATAAATGTAAGGTAAAATAAATGGGACTAAAAATGAGGACTCTGACGCTTATCCCTTCACACAGACACACGCACACACAGTGACTGACCGGATGGGTCGAGGACCTCCTCGATGACAGGCGGCAGCCGGAAGGCATCCATGTTTCCTCTGATTGATGGGAAGCTATAGAGATGAGGGGGTCAGAGCTCCAGAGGGGTGAGGAGGGGAGAGAATGAGGCAGATGGAGCCCAGGAAGGGTCCTCACGCTCCGGGTAGAGAGAGCCGCTGCAGCCCTTTCATCCTTCTGGAGCTGGGAGGGAAACACAGGGGGAGGAGGGAGAGGCGGTGAGAGCTGCGACAGATACTGCATCACGAGGAGGCGGGCAGCGTGCAGGCCTCAAACACCCACTCTATCTCCACATGTCTCACTCTGCAGCTCTGCTGCCTTTTAACCACCAACCCGCATAACCTCAGTGAGAGGGGAGCAAACACAGCATCTCTCTGCGGACACCACTGCCACAAGAACCAATCAACAGCTACCATGGGCGGCTGGTGTCATCTATACAGTTATAAATTGGGACCGCTCTTCATGACAAATGACTGAAATAAGAATTGACCACAGAGATCACCTGGACCACTGAATCCCTTAACTCTCAGTTTGCTGGTATGTTACCTACAAATAGCGCTAACCTTTAGCAGACTGTGAATAAAAGAGGGCTATCGGCTGTTTGCTTTGTGCCATCAGTTTTAGCATTTTGACCCATGAGGTGCTATGTTTTGTTTTCAGAGGGCAGAGCCTCACAGACACAAATACCTGTGCAGTAACATCCAATCAAAATCTTAGAATTTCACTGGTGACCAAAACTGGAGCTCAGACTTCTTGGATGGCCTGTTAGTAAAATTAAACATATGACTTATAAAAACATTTCCCCCCCCCATACAGACGTTATATTTGATATGAACCCCAGATAAACTTTTGCAGTCTTCTTCTTTTCCAGCTTATAAATCTATGTCATCTGCATGTAGAAACGCTCTTATTCTTCCCATTCCTGTCTTTTACTTCCTTTTACTTATCTTTATGATGTAACAGAAGTAAAATAGTTTCAGGAAGTGGGAAATTATGTACAGCGCACAAACCAGTTTCTATCCCGTCTCAGACTGTAAACATGTTTATTTTAACAATGAAGTCTATTGGTCCTGGGTCACTCCTGGAGCCTCTAGTGGAAAGTAGAAGAACTGCTAGTTTGGAGCTTCAGTGCTAGCTTCATTTATTAATCTTGGAATGTGTTTTACGGTTCTGTGCAGTGCTTGTTCTTCATCAGTGTGGCCTTTGATGATCGTTTAGAGAGGTTTGTTGGTCTCCAGAGATTGGTTGGTTGGGAAAGGCTGTCAGATTTAAGGCTGCGGTTGTGTTTACCTGGAGCTTGGTATTCAGATTATATTTATTTAAAGTTTAAACCCTTCAGAGGAAACGATCCACCTGATTTCATGACTTAAACCTGAATGTCAAACTGCTCCTCTGCTGAGATTTTAAAACACTCTGACTGTAAATATTTTCAGGGACGAAGCGCTGATGAGAACACACATCACATTTCCCAATTGAAAGGATGTAAAGCTAACTTGAAACCTTCAGTCACACTGCAAGTACTCATGCATTCTGCATGTAAGTGCAGCCGTTCAGGGATAGTTTAAAGGGACCAGCACACATTTCTGTCTGATGCCAGGCTTCTACAAAACACTCCAAAACACACAAAAGACTAGAAAAACAGACACAGCACGATCAAGTAGGACAAAAAGACTGATGAGAACACGGTGCTGATACAGAAGCATCGATTAGCTTTGACACCTCAGAGTTCCCAGCTGATGTGGAAACTCAAACATGAACACTGAGGCACAAACAGGAACAGCTTCAGCAATGTTAATCTGATATATCTGCGGAAACTCCTCATGTTGAAGGTTTTACACTGAGAGCAGCTCTGACATGAGCTGGATTACAATCTTATCCTCACTATTACACATTAATACCACCATGTCATCACCCTCTATATGTGCTCTGTATGTGCTGTCCTGCTGCTGATATTAAAGTCCTCATTCATTGGTCTGTGTCATTTTGTTGAGCTTGCACTGTGACCATAAAGCCTGAAATCCCCCTGTTTCCCTGTCATTGTGCCTTCATAAAGGAAAAGTTTAAATGTCATTCCTTGGATTTTCTGCTGGAACATCCTCTCCCTGCCTCATTGCAGTTTTAAAATGCTGAACTCTTCCATTAGAATCAGCTAACAGGCTGTGGCACGACCTTTTTCTGCTGCTCAAACACAACACATACATGCAGGATGAAGACGTACCTGATGCAGATCTGCTCGTCTCTGAACCACTCTCTGTGGTTTCAGGCTTTGCTGCAGACCTCCTCCTCCTCTTCCTCCTCCTGTTGTCCTATATTTCCTCCTCAGCTGCTCTCTCAGCGTGATGCAGAGTGACGTCACTACATGCTACAGACGGACAGAGGCCATGATGTGAATGCACAATCAGCCTACATGACGTCATTTATTAACCCATTCCTGCCTCTGATCTGCAGTCAGTGAAACTGAAGACGTGTGAGTGGCTGCAGCTGCAGACATAACAAGGATCACATTTCTGTGGCCCAGGTTATGATTCACCAAGTGGTCAGACAGAAACAGTGTTCAACTCTAACAAGGCCATGTGAAGCAAAACAAACACAATAATGACAAACACTGATTTTATTTCAGTCTTGATACAGAAAAAAAAAGACTGATATCAGTATTGATTAACTGTCTAATAATTGTTTTAATGGGGAATAATTGTCTTATTCCCCATTAAAAGTAATGCTTCACTGCGGTTTTAGTCTCAGCTGAAAGTCTCTGGGTCGCACCTGCAGGAGAGATTTAACACAAGGTGACACAGACGCTCTGCAAGACTCGTTGGCTCTCAGTCGACTGCCGGTGAAAATGGAAACGCTGCAAACTCGCTCACTTCTGTTGCTAGGCAACACAAATCCAGGCTGGATAACATTAAAGGCCACAAAGATGAGAGAGGAGGGAAATGAAAGCTGAGCACCGACCTCCCAAAGATCCAGGAAGCTGCAGGGTTAAAACTAAAACTCCACCTGAAGGTTCAAAATCCCCACAGAGACAGAGACCAGAATCACTGACATCTACAGTGAAGGGGTTTCCAGTCCGCTCATTCCCAGTTTCAGAGTTTTCCCAGAACCTCTGAGAGCAGCTCTGTGGCTGACAGCCTCGCTGAACCCACATTCAGCAAACGGGATACAGCACAGATGAGCTTTCACTTCATAACGACACAACAGCAACTCTTGATGATAACGATAATAATAATAATAATAATAGTGTGTTTGGGACCTCCTGCCTTAAAACCAGCAGTTCTTGAGCCCCCTGGTGGCCTCTGCAGGTGGTGGGAGGAGTCAAACTAAGTGAAATAAATAGAAATAAACAAATTTGTATTTTTTTAAAAAAAGCTCTGTTATGGTGATGAAGGGTAAAAGGTGTAGGGTGTGACCACTGCAGGACCACCTTCAGGAGAACCACTGCATGAAAGCAGCTTTCCTCTGATTGGCTGCCCTTTGCCTGGCTTCCTCTCGCAGCTGTGAAGGTTGAGAAAACAAACTGTAAAATAAATAAATAATCTTAAAATAAATAAGTCCTGATGAGTAGTTAGAACCTCGAGAGCGGAGTAGAGACAAGCTAATGGGTCTGACGAAGACACCCCCTCTGTGTGACATCACAGATATCCCAGAGTAGAAAAAACGGCATCTGCATCCTGATGTTTTGGCTCAAACTGAGCACATTATTATTAGAAACTGCGTGAAAGTTTGTGACTGTAGATCTGAAACTCTACATTTAAACGATGGCTCTGAAGACTCTGAAACTTGGAGGGGAGTAAAAGATTAAACCGTCTCTGCTGTCTGAGTCTCTACTTCTGTCTGAAGCTCAAAGATGTTTGTAGACGCGCTGTGTTAGTGTGGACGTGCAAACAGGACGTGAACACAGTGAGAGATGCTGTGTGTGCTCAGCACTGCAGGGTTATGTAAAGGCTCTAAATCACTCAGCTGGACTCTTTAAACTGGCTTTCAGCCCTCACGTCACTGTCAGAATCACAGGTGACCTGAAACTCATGTCATTGGACAAAGGAAGGAAACACAGGCAGGCACAGAAAGAACCGGCCAATCAGGAGGCCCCAAACTGGAGGCTTTGTCCTGTGAGGAAACGGTGCTAACCACTGCAGCACCTGGAAATAATAATAATATTAATAATAATTGTAACATGGTAGACTAATGTGCCTGTGTTAATTCAGCTCCATATTATTATGTGAAGTTGCACTGGGTTGGGAGTGGTTTTGTGTGTGTGTGTCACATTTTTGGTGAGCCAATGGCTGGAATGGGGTTGGACTAATTAGAGGCAGGTGTACTTGATTGCACTGATACACTGGTCTACTTATAGCCCACACTACAAACACTGCTGTGTCATTTTGTCTCTCTGTGCAGGTATGTAATGTGATGAAAAGAGATTTGATATGTTTGGGATGGATGGGTTTTGCGCTATGAATTTTATACTGAAGGTGTCATTTTGTCTCTCTGTGCAGGCCAGGGCCTATTATATGCCACAGCCTAAAGGCAGCAGAGTTGCAGAGGCTGGAGTGACCACTGGCTATATGCTTGCAGGGGTCTCCAAGGACAACTTCTAACCCTGTTAAAGGCAACACGCGGAGTGCAACTGGCCATGTGGCATAGCTGGCTCTGGCCTTGGGACTAAGTGTTTTTATACGATTCATAAATGGGACACTGGACTGTTTTATCTTTTATCTCTTGATATTTTTTTGTCAATAAATTATATTTTAGAATTTTATTGACTCTCATCTTTTTGCCCACGACTGAGACGGTTGGTCAGACCTAGAATCGTTCTTTGGGTGTGTTACATAAGAATAAGAATAAGAAGAAGAATAAGAATAAGAAGAAGAATGATAAGAGGAAAATCAGCTGTGCACTGTGCATGCTGTGTGTTTGCGCTGCGATGTGACCTGGTTCCTTCTTCAGTGGTGCTTCAGCCGGTTTGTGCTGCCCTTAGAGCTCATTAAAGAAACATGGAGCGACGCAGCAGAGAAGAAGCTGAGCTGCGCGAGACGGACGGTTAGAGGACGCACGTGAACCATGATTTTCAGCTTCTTAGATTAAATCCTAAAAAACGAGTTAAAACCTGAATGATCAGTCAGAATCCCCTCTGAGCGCTCGTTCTGATTTAATTCAGAGGTGAAATCACGGAAACATGAGTATTTTTTCCTGATTAGTTTCAATTCTTGATTTTTTCCCCGTTCTCATCGTTCAGGTGAAGTTCTGAACTCTGAGCTCAGGTTACCCGAAAGCTGCTCTGACTGCAGGAGCTGTAATAAATTATGTTAGTTGTGAATTTGTATGATTTCCTGATAACATGAACGTGCAGATGTTTGTTTGATTAAAGTGGAGCGCATCTGCAGTTGTCGGACGGCGTCATTCAGAGGAAGAAGCCAGTCTTACAGCTGATAATGACATGAAAGACATTTTACACAAACATGATGAATGAAGAGAGGCTGTTCTGGAGATTACGTGTCACCAGGGCTGTATCCCAATTCAGGGTCTGCAGCCTTAAAGTACGCATCGTTAACGGTCCACAAGGGCCGCGCACTCAAAGACCGCTAAGGCCGGAAGTGCGAGGCTTCTGAAATGGGACGGTCTAGCCTCGGTCGCGTTGCCCAGGTTGCCTAGCAACCATGATACTAACAGCTGGAAACGTTTCATACAGCTTTGTTTGACAGAAATGAAGGAGAACATATTTTGTTCATTTGTTTGTTTGTTTCTACATGGGCTTTGATTTGATAAGTATCTAAGGCTGAGACCACAGGACTGTAAAAACATGATATTGGGCTTCATTTCTGTACTGAACAGTCATTTTAAGATTAGCTAGTAAATAACAATTAGCTATGTTGTTCATCAGACTAAAGTCATCTCACTTTGGTAATATAACTATAATATGGCCAATATTAAAGTTATTATTTCAATCATTATTAGTTATTACAGCAGTGAATGAACTCTGTTTCAAATACTGAGCTTCAGTAAAGATTCAAGCTGCATTTATTTATATTTCCTGTCACCTTAAATCTTCATTTAAAGACAGGTTCCTTTGACACTGTATATATAAATGTATTATATATAAGAGACAACTATTGTTCTTTCAATATGTTGGCATTACTAAATTTGTCTCAGTATTTACTTTAAATATCCATGAAATCATCACATTCTCTGTAAGATTAAAGGTGGAGACAAGTGCAGTTGTAGATTTAGGAGTCCTGCTTCGTCACTCCAGCAGGTGGCGGCACTGCATCTCGATGTTTGCGGTAAACCACCATAGAAGAAGAAGCAGAAGCCGGAGGAGTGTTCGGTGGACGTGTGGCAGGAGCCGGTCACATTAGTGTGGGGTCTAAAAGGTAAACAGGTGAGTCCGCACCTCGTTTTTACCGGAACTCGCTGAATTCATGAGGCTAAAGCAGCTCGTGCATTAGCATTATCCCGAGCCGACACTCAGTTAGCTTTTGGCTAACCGCGTGCTCCTTAACCTTCAGTCACCAGGAAACCCTGTAGCACTGTCCTGACATCAGCTGTGTGTGTGTGTGTGTGTGTGTG